AGAACAGAAAGAACTGACATGGGTTGTTCCCACCTTGTCTCATTTTGATCCTCGCAACATTCAATGTGAAAATGAACTGAAAAGGATCGTTCATCTTCAAAGCATTGTCAATCAAATGCCAGATGCATTTAATGATGCTATGAAAGTGACAAAATCACATATACCAGCTGCAAATGCACCTGCAAGAATTGATGTCCCTGTTGGACAAAATAAAGTGGCAGCGAATGATTCATCTGGTGCATGCCTGAAGCGTGGTAGACCCCCAGGTTCAAAAGATTCAGCTCCTCGAAAGAGAAAGTCGAGGGCACAACTGAATCCAAATGAAGTTATTCAGGAAGAGAAAATGAATGATACATCCACAATTCATAATTCTGGACTTCCAGAAAAAGAAAATGTCCTTGATGAGACATCTGTCCCTAAAAAGACAGAAGTACATGAAAACAAAGAAATCTCCATAAATTATGCATGTACAAATGAATTGTGGGATCGGAATGAAATAATCATTGATGATATGTTTGCATTTGCAGTAGCCACTGAAATCATCTTAAGTGATGATATTGAGCCTCGCTCTGTTGATGAATGCAAACAGAGACAGGATTGGCCTAAGTGGAAAGATGCAATCCAGGCAGAATTAAATTCCTTGGAAAAGCGGAATGTTTTTGGACCAGTAGTCCAAACCCCGCCTAGTGTAAACCCCGTGGGTTACAAATGGGTATTCACAAGGAAACGCAATGAGAAAAACGAGATCGCAAGATACAAAGCAGGACTCGTTGCACAAGGTTTTTCTCAAAGACCTGGAATTGATTATGAGGAGACATACTCTCCTGTAATGGACGCAATTACGTTCCGTTACTTAATAAGTTTAGTGGTTTCAGAAAGACTTGACATGCGACTGATGGATGTCATCACTGCGTATCTATATGGAGAATTAGATACTGACATCTATATGAAAGTCCTAGAAGGACTTAAGTTGCCTGAAACAAGTAATAAACCACGAGGTATGCTCTCGATCAAATTAAGGCGATCATTGTATGGTCTGAAACAATCTGGACGAATGTGGTATAATCGTTTCAGTGAGTATTTGATCAAAGAAGGGTATATCAACAATGTTATTTGCCCTTGTGTGTTCATTAAGAAATCCAATTCTGGATTCGCTATAGTGGCAGTATATGTTGATGATATGAATCTAGTTGGGACTCCTGAAGAGCTCAATAAAACTGCTGAATATCTGAAAAGCGAATTTGAAATGAAAGACCTTGGAAAAACAAAATATTGTCTCGGCCTGCAGATCGAGCATTGTGCTAGTGGAATTTTGGTCCACCAATCAGCTTACATTGAAAAAATTCTGAAGCGATTTGGTATGGACAAGGCTTATCCACTAAGCACACCAATGGTTGTTCGTTCTTTGGACCTTAAAAAAGATCCATTTCGTTCAAAAGAAGATGATGAGCTGGTCCTTGGTCTAGAAGTACCATATCTGAGTGCAGTAGGTGCTTTGTTGTATTTAGCACAATGTACTAGACCAGATATAGCTTTTTCAGTTAATTTGTTAGCAAGGTATAACTCTGCTCCAACAATTCGCCATTGGAAGGGTATCAAAGATGTATTGCGATACCTTCGTGGGACAACAGACATGGGTCTCTTCTACTCAAAGAACTCCACAGATGATCAGGTCCTTGTTGGATATGCAGATGCTGGCTTCCTCTCTGATCCGCATAAAGCCCGCTCACAAACTGGATATGTGTTTAAGAATGGAGATACAGCAATCTCATGGCGCTCAACCAAGCAAACATTAGTTGCTACATCTTCAAATCATTCAGAAATACTTGCTTTACATGAAGCAAGTCGTGAATGTTCTTGGTTAAGATCAATGATCCATCATATCCAGAATTCATGTGGTCTAACTTCGAAGACAGACAATCCAACTGTCATCCATGAAGATAATGCAGCCTGTGTTGCCCAAATGAAGGAAGGATTCATCAAGGGCGATAAGACTAAACACATATCTCCAAAGTTTTTCAGTGCTCTTGAGCTTCAGAAGGCTAAAGTTATTGAAGTCAAACAAATCCGTTCAAATGAAAATCTGGCAGACTTGTTCACCAAATCTCTACCAAAGTGCACATTTCAGAAGTTAGTGCAAGGCATCGGATTACGTCGACTTACCAAAAAGCTAAATTTGGAGAATGCGGAATCAGGGGGAGATACATATCAGGGGGAGCATCCCTGATACATGCTTGTTGTACTCTTTTTCCTTCGATTAGGATTTTTCCCACTGGGTTTTTCCTATCAAGGTTTTAACGAGGCAACATAAACATACTTGACACTATATCAACGATCCAGGAAAAATTGTACTCTTTTTCCTTCGTTATGGTTTTTTCCCACTGGGTTTTTCCAAGCAAGGTTTTAACGAGGCAACTCATGTTGATATGTGGGCATCCAAGGGGGAGTGTTGAAAAGTCTCATGGGCAATGAATGCCCACAGTTTCATTTGTGAAAGTCTTCTGCATGGGCAAAGTTTTCAATGCCCATGCAAAGTGAAAGATATTGTATAGTCAGACGAAGTTTCATAAATTTCAAGATGCATTAACTGCATTAGTTTGGAGTTGCTCTATAAATAGAGCACTCAGCATGTTTTCATAGAACAGAAAATATAAGAAGAAGAAAACAAGAGAGAAATATCAGTAACATCATCTATTCCTCTGCCTTTTATTTGTTATCCTCTTATGCTATAAGTTTTAGTGTGGCATTTTACATCTACCTTGCACCTACTACTAAAAAGGTTATTCTCTCAAACTTTAACCCTTTTATAACATACATAACGTTTTGAAAATTAGACATTATTTTTAAATAGTTACATTCATTAAGCCATCAACGTTAAGGGATGATGTTACCACGTCAAGCGATGATGTCATTATTTTTAAATAATAACAAGGACAAATTATTTTTTATTTTTTATTTTGTCACACGTGGACAAAAGTTGAAGTTTGTCTTCATTGATAGTCATTTTGAAGCTCTAAATCCCTAAATCGGCCCCTTTAGCTGAGTTAAACACTAATTTTTGCTTGGCTAAAAGGGGTCGATATTGGGATCCAAAGCTCCACAAGTGAGAGAGTTCCCAAATGCTTCAATATTTGTTTATACCATCATTAATTTAACGCCAGTGACCTAATAAATATTTATTTTTCAGAACATTGAGTAGTTATTTTAAATGTTTTAAAATGTTTGGACTAATTTGAAATCACCCTTAAAAGTTGGGTAGTTATACTTCCTTAATGATTGAGTACAATTAAAAGACTACGTGTGGGTAGTTATCTTATGAGAAGAGTGAGAATACTAGGGGTGGACACTTAAAACAGAAAACCGAAATCGAAACACGAACCAAATCGGACTGCACCGAATGGTTCGATTTTACGGTTTTGAAACGGTTTCGGTTTTGGAATTGAATCACAAAGTAGGAAACGGTTTGGTTTCAGTTTTGGTTTTCAAAAACCGCACCGAAACTGAACCGCACTGTAAATATTAATAAGCATTTAATTAAATGCCCATATTAGATTTCATGTTTTAATTGGTTGTTTCTTAGAGTCCATACATTTAGTATGAACTCAACCACACTAGAATATCATCATTTATCACTTTCCTTCTCTTCTACATAATATCATCACTCATCAGTAGGGGTGGGTACTTGAGTGCATTGTCCTACACTGGATATGTGATCAACAGGTAAAATGTTCCACACAAAGGACATTGAGAAATCGAAATTGCAAGGGAAATAATGCATAGCTTCCTCATAGATTTGAGGGTGCAACTATGCAAGTATGTTTGCTGGGCAATTATAATATATATCTGCCATGAGTCCATGACATTGGATATGTTTGCTGGGCAATTATAATATATATCTGCCATGAGTCCATGACATTGGATCATTCATACATGTTATCTACTACACAGAGTATGCATGTAAAGTTGCAAACGTTCATTCATTTCTTCTTCCCAAGCCTTAAATTTTTGCGTGGCAATTGGTACCTAGCTAGCTAATAAGGTTGCTCTGTGAGGACTTTTTACTGGTTTTTAATGAGGGATTAGTTTCATTTTATATACAGATTTATGACATTTTGTAGCGGTTTGATTAGCTACTGCTTAAGTTTAATTTATACCCTTTCAGAGTACTCTCTAACATGTCTAGATTGGTAAATGCTTAATAATATGTTCTAATCTTTCATTTCAAGTTATGATTCATGATCTTACTAGAAACTACTTTTCTTCTAGATAAGTTTTCTTAAAAAAAGTTCTTTGTTGATTGCATTCATGGAAAGCTTGAGATAACGAGCGTTTCGTATTTTAAATTGTATATTTTTTCTTAAAAACTGAATCGATACCGTTTGAAACCGCACCAAACTGAACCAAACGGTTTGGTTTCATTTTGATTTTAACTTCAAAACCGCACCGCACCGAACCGAATCGTACCCACCCCTAACTAATACCACACCATTCACATTATAATTAACTCGGTGGTAAACCAAATAACAAATCATACAAGCAGGCAATAACATAAAAACTATGAGAAGGCAAAGCATTTTCATGTCTTTATGGGAATAAGACGCGAGCACATAGCTGGTGATGAAGAGATGTATAAAAGAACAATGCCCTTATGCAAAGCATTCAAATAAATCAAATAGACTACTACCACGATGATAACGAGTTATGAATTAGAAAACAGAGAGAGAATTTGTAGTAAGTGTGAGTATTACTTTCTCAATAGCAATTTTTCTCGTACTCGTAGAAAAATAAGAAAAATTCATTACTTTTTATTGTTCTGGTGCATGCCATAAAGCGGAATACAACAAACTTTTCGAGTCAAAATATTAGTGCTTCCTATTTCTTCATTGTTTCAACGTGGATCATTCACGTTAATTTTGACAAATTTCAGCCTTTCTTTCAAAAGACAATACCTAAAGACCTCTAAATATCTAAATTAGAAAATGATTCGAAAATATCTTTGGGGAAACCTATAGATAGCAATCCAATCCAAACCAATCCCCACGAAGTAAGACCATGCATGCAAATTGAGAGTCGACCATTTTTCATCGTTGACATTCTCACAAAAATGGAACAGTTGTTCGACAAGTTCTTCGATTCCGTCGCTAACCTTTTCAGCGGTGGCGGTGGCGATGAGATCCCCTGGTGCGATGGCGACGTCATCCACGTGAGTTCATACATTACATTGTTCATTTTCCGTTTGTTTCCCGAGAAAATTCCCAAAGAAAATCCAATCAGAGATCTGGGTTCCTCTTTCTTTTGATTTTAATCTATTTTCATTTGTTCTTTTTTTATTTTTCTGAATTGATTAAAATTATTAGGGGTGTGAGAAAGAAGTAGCAGAGGCCAACAAGGGTGACTCGGATGAACACAAGAGCGAAAGCATTATGCGGTTGTCATGGGCGCTTGTTCACTCAAGGCAACCGGAAGATGTGCAGCGTGGAATTGCAATGCTTGAAGGTAACATTTTTGCTGACAATTATTATTTTGAATAGCCATAAGCTGCATTTCATCTAATTTTTAATTTAATTCTGCAAATTTGGCTTAAGCTATTAGCTTTTGTTAATTTAATTTTCTGGTCTTGAGCTGGTGTTTTCGATTTCTTCTTCGACCATTGAATTCATGATTACTTTCACGGTTGATCTCTAATTGTTTAAAAGTGTTTCCAAGGGTATACAACATTTTCCTGGGTTAAATTTTGGGCTTGTTTGATAATTATCTCGTTTTCAGTTGTTGTGTTTGGGATATGAGAAAAGTATATGGGGAAAGGAGGGATGAAGAGGGGTGATAGGAGAGTGGGGAAGAAATAGAGAACAATGAATGAAAACAAAATCTTGAAAAGTGAAAATAATGCAGAATAATTTATGGTTTTTTAATAGTGTGCATTTCCTTGTGTATTTCTTATTCATCTCTCGTACTATCCTTCCTCCACTCTGCTATATCCCTCATTTCTTCATGTATTTCCTTTGTATCTCAAACACAGAAACAAAAACAAAATGTTCATCAAACGGACCTGTTGTCTTTTGTTTTATAATTATTGAAGAGGGAGACGGGAGATGGAAGATGAAAACGAGAAGAGAGGTGTGAAGGAGAAAGGGGGAAGAAGTTTTTTGCCTCGTATTTTCTGGATATGTTGGACCATAAATTAACTATAGTAATGTTCTTTTTGCTTCTTTCTGTCGTAAACCCAACCATCCATGACACAACAAATTTTATAAACTACAACAAGCTGAGCCTTTCCCCGTTTCTTGTAATTGATAACTTCTGCATACCAAAATTCTACCAATCTTTTATTTCATTGATTGTACTTTTCATTTAAAAAAAAAAAAAAAAATTAAAGTATTATATATGGATTAGGAGACACATTTTGACAACCATTTTGTTAAGCCCACTTTGCAATGTTTTTCAACGATCCGAGCTGTTTATATTTTTATTTATCATTCATAGATCATTTTTGCAACAAATTAGACAAATACAAAACCATTAAAACATTCATTTGTAGTGAAAAAAATAGACGAATACGATTTTGCAAAGAAATGCTAAAATGACTATCATTTAATCCAACAGTCATATGATTTTGGATTTAGGTGATTTTTAGTAGACATGATCTTTGAAGGAACATTTAAAAAGATAAACGGTTCAGATTGTTGGAACAAGTTACAGAGTGGGCCCTACAAAAATAGGTGTCAAAATGTTTGTCATAAAGTGTGTCCTCCAATCCTGACCCATTATATAATTTCTCATATGACCTGATTATGTTTCTGTTAGTACAGCTTCATTGGCCAACAGTAGCTCCCCTTTGCATCAAAGAGAGAAGCTTTACCTTCTGGCTGTTGGATACTTCAGAACCGGGGAATATTCAACTTGCCGGCATCTAGTGGAGCAATGCTTAGAGGTTTGTTCTTAACTTTCTTTGGATTGCACCAAATTTTACTAGAAAACTTGTAGGGACATAGTCACCTCTCTTACCTGCGACATGTTCATGTGTCTTGCATTGATCATATGATTGGTGACCATCATTAAGTGAAAGTCTGGCCAGAACAATGCTATTTGTACGTAGGATCTGTTTATTGAACCATCAATAAAAGTTGACATTTTGAAGGTAACTGTTGAATTTTCTGATTTGAATTGTAATACATTTCATTTCTTAGAAACCTTATGGGAAGGCATACTTATACACAATACAAAGAAAGCTTCGGATGCAACATCACACATGCAGCAACCTTCCTGCTGTCCATGAGTCAGCAATCACATGCACACCCTTGCTGTCTTACTGTCTTTCCTTTCCAGATTCAGCAATCATGCACCCATGCTTGCCGTGCTGTCTGTAATAGCACACATTGCTTCTTCCTTGCTGTCTTTCCTTTCCAGATTCAGCAATCATGCACCCATGCTTGCCATGCTGTCTGTAACAACACACATTGCTTCTTCCTTGCTGTCTTTCCTTTCTAGATTCAGCAATCATGCACCCATGCTTGTCGTGCTGTCTGTAACAGCACACATTGCTTCTTCCAATACTCCCCCTTAAGCTGGATCCAGTAGGTTGATGGATCCAAGCTTGGAGAGGAGTCTTTGAAACTGATGAGAAGCCAGAGGTTTGGTGAATATATCAGCCAGCTGATCGAAGCTTTTTACATAATGTGTCTGAATCACCTGCGACTGTACTTGTTCACGGACATAGTGACAGTCGACTTCAACATGCTTCGTCCTCTCGTGAAAGACGGAGTTTGATGCTATGTGCATGGCAGCCTGGTTGTCACAAAATAAGGTCATTGGTTGAGCTGTGAACACACCTAAGTCACATAAAAGTCCTTTCAGCCATATCAGCTCACACGCGGTTGAGGCCATTGCACGATATTCAGCTTTGGCACTTGATCTTGCGATGACAGTTTGTTTCTTGCTCTTCCACGTGACCAGGTTTCCACCAACAAAGGTACAATAACCAGTGGTGGACTTGCGATCGATTGCGTTTCTTGCCCAATTAGCATCACAGTACCCCATGATTTGAGTGTTGTCATTCTTTGCCATGAGGATGCCACGACCAACAGACCCTTTTAAGTAACGTAAGATTCTTTTGACAAGGTTCAGATGCTCGATGGTGGGAGAGTGCATGAACTGACTGGCAATACTTACTAAATGTGAGATGTCTGGTCTGGTGATCGTTAGGTAGATCAGCTTGCCGACAAGCCTCTGATATAAGCTGATATCCGAGAGTGGCGTGTCTCCCAAGTCAAGCTTGAGCTTGCTATCAAGAGGGGTAAGTGCAGGCTTGGCATCACTCATATTGGCATCTTTAAGTAGGTCCATGACGTACTTTCGTTGATTAAGAAATAGTCCCTTGTAAGAAGATGCCATTTCAATTCCAAGAAAATACTTCAACACCCCAAGATCTTTAACCGCAAATTGTTGTTGAAGTGACTGTTTGAGTGTGGTGATTTCAGCAGCATTATCACCTGTAATTATTAAGTCATCAACATATATCAACACAACTAATTTGCTTGCAGCTCTTGTGCGAACAAATAATGATGAATCTGCATTACTCCTTTTGAAACCAATGCTATGAAGAACGGTACTTAGTTTTGCATACCAAGCACGTGGTGATTGCTTCAGTCCATAAATTGACTTATGTAACTTACACACCAAATTAGGCTCTTGGCTTTGAGGGTGTCCTGGTGGCAATCTCATATAAACTTCTTCTTCAAGATCACCATGTAGAAAGGCGTTCTTCACGTCCATTTGATACATAGACCAACCTTTATTGACGGCAACAGACAATAAAACCCTTATTGAGTTCATTTTTGCAACAGGAGCAAATGTTTCCTTGTAATCCACCTCAAATGTTTGAGTGAATCCTCGAGCCACCAGCCTGGCTTTATGCCTCTCAATCGAACCATCAGAATTAAACTTGATCTTATAGATCCACTTACAGCCCACTGCCTTTTTTCCTTGTGGAAGTTTGGTGATGCTCCAGGTTTTGTGTTGGTCTAGTGCTTTGAGTTCATCTCTCATTGCTTCTTTCCACACAACTTGATTATTAGCCTCATAAAAGTTTTGAGGCTCACTGTGACTTGAAATGTTGTTAAGAAAGGCAGCATGAGATGGAGTTACCTTTTGATACGACACGCAATTTGAAATTGGATGCCTCGGTTTATATGTGACAAAATCTTGAAACCTTGTGGGAGGTTGTCTATCACGCCGAGGATTGCGTCGAGGTACTAGGAGGTTTGTCTCATCCTCGTTCAAATTGTCATCCACACCTTGAGGATTTTCTATGTTGCCGTTGTCATCATCATGCACCGAGTCATCAGGATGAGTACCTTCATTATTGACTTCAATGGGAGGTGTAGAAGTACAGATTCTTGGTAGAGGAATTAGGTCTAAGATGCACTCCCCCTGACTTGTGGCTTCATGTGATTTGCTGAAAAAAGGGTTAGCTTCATGGAATCGTACATCTTTAGATACAATTATTTTTCTTAGTTGAGGATCATAGCACTTATATCCTTTTTGTGTTGATGAATAACCAAGAAAAATACATTTGAGAGTTCTACGATCCAACTTATCTCGATGGTGTGACTGTATATGAACAAAACAAACACAGCCAAAGACTCTAAGATGTGAAAGGTCGATTTTTCTTCCTTTCATGACTTCAAGTGGAGATTTAAATCCCAAGACTCGGCTAGGAAGTCTATTGATGATGTACACAGCCGCCATGACTCCTTGTGACCAAAATCTCTTTGGTACGTTCATTTGTAACATTAATACTCTCGTTTTTTTCCAGAATGTCACGATTTTTCCTTTCAGCTACACCATTTTGTTGAGGTGTGCCGACACAACTTGTTTGATGCATGATACCATGCTTGCTCAAATATAATGACATGATATGGGACATATATTCGGTGCCATTGTCAGATCTTAAGGTTTGAATTTGAGAGGAAAAATGGTTCTTAACAAGATTGTGAAAATCCTTAAAAACTTCAATCACTTCACTCTTAGACTTTAAAAGGTACAACCATGTGGCTCTAGAGAAATCATCGACAAAAGTTACATAATACTTATAACCATCAAAAGATTCAAACGTTGGTCCCCATACATCTGAGTGAACTAGTTCGAAAACTTTACTAGTCCTAGATAAGGATGAGGTAAAAGACAATCTGGTGGCTTTAGACAAATGACATGTTTCACACGAAATTAAATCATTCCCTAAGTTTGGAAACAAGGAAGACAAAACAGGTTAGGAAGGATGAGCTATACGTTGATGCCACAATTGACTATCTTGGGATGGACTGGACTTGGCTTGAAATCCTCTGGGACTGTTTTTTGATATGTAATAGAGGCCATCTAGGTAAAACCCTTCACCAATCGTCTTCTTGGTGAGGCAATCCTGAAAAATGACATTGTGAGGAGAGAAAATGGCCAAACAATTTAAGGTATTAGTGATTTTTCCCACAGATAGAAGTTGAAATGGAAAAGAAGGAACAAATAAGGCTACTGACTCAATTTTGTCCGATATTAAGTTGATATTTCCCTTCCCTAAAACCTTAGAACTCTCACCATTGGCAGTTGAGACTTGAGACGGTTTTGAAAAATTTTCAAACTTGTGAAACTTAGAAACATGGTTGGTCATATGATCTGTGGCACCCGAATCAACAATCCACAAATCATGCATCATATTTACATTAAGAGCAGTTTTAAAAGCAGTCATGATACCTTGCATGTCATCTTGGGCCATGTGTTGTGTTTCTGTCAGAAATCCAGCAAACTTGCCTAACAAAGCTATTGAATTTCCATCTTCAAAGCCTACCGTTTGGTCACTCTTAATCCTTTCTTTCTTGCTTTGAAGATACACTGCAAATTCATTTATGAGTGCAGCTGGATTTGCAGTGAAGCTCTTGAGTGCATCAGACCTATGAGAGGTTGAGGTAGTTGCATTATTGGCTCTATGTGGTGCACGGTTCAGTCTTTGTGAGCCCTTGTTATCCTTCATGAACTCTGGCTTTAATTCTGGATGTAAAATCTAGCATGTCTCCTTAACGTGACCAGTATAGTTGCAGTGTTGGCACTTTAAGTGTGGATTCTTCACTTTGTATTTTCTTTCGTTGGCTAGATAAACCCTTGCTTCAGTTACACTGGTCTTTGTGCCAGTGTTCATGACTTTCCTTCGTACTTCTTCACGTTGGATTGTTGCACATACGCTGGTGAAGGAAGGTAGTTCGGGGTTCATGAGTATGTGGCTTCGTAGGTCTTCGTATCCTGAATCGAGACTTGACAAGAGTTGGAATATCTTGTCTTCTTCTGCCCTTTTCAATAGTAAAGACGCCTCAGTTGTGTGAGGCCGATACATTTCCAGCTCATTCCACATGCTCTTCATGCTGCCTAGAAGTTGAACAAAGGGCTTTCCTTCTTGTTGTATGTTGGAAATGTTCTTCTTTAATTGAAACACACGTGCAACATTGTTCTGGCTGCCATACATCTCCTTGACTGTCTCCCATAGTTTGAATGATGATTCAGAATAACTGAATATTTCAGCTAGTTTACGTTCCATGGAATTTAGGAGCCATGACATAACTAGCTGATCCTTGCAAAGCCAGATTTCATAAGTTGGTGAAGAAACATCAGGAACTTCGATGCTTCCATTTATGAACCCTAGCTTGGACCTTCCACCTAGGGCAAGACTCACTGCTCTTGACCAAGGTAAGTAATTAAACTCATTTAACAAGACCGAGCTTAATCTTTGATTTGGATTGACATCCACCTCAGACACGGTTGAGGAGGAAGGTATCTGGGAATTTTCATCTCCAAACGAATAAGAATTCTCTTCCACCACGTTGGAGATGGAATACGATCAGCTGGAAGAAATGCAGAAGCAGGTTATTTTTCCTGCTTTGATACCATGTTGAATTTTCTGATTTGAATTGTAATACATTTCATTTCTTAGAAAGCCTTATGGGAAGGCATACTTATACACAATACAAAGAAAGCTTCGGATGCAACATCACACATGCAGCAACCTCCCTGCTCTCCATGAGTCAGCAATCACATGCACACCCTTGCTGTCTTGCTGTCTTTCCTTTCCAGATTCAGCAATCATGCACCCATGCTTGCCGTGCTGTCTGTAACAGCACACATTGCTTCTTCCTTGCTGCCTTTCCTTTCCAGATTCAGCAATCATGCACCCATGCTTGCCGTGCTGTCTGTAACAGCACACATTGCTTCTTCCAATAATAACCTTCAAATGCGTGGTCCGTTTCTGGAACGTTGAGTGTGCACTATGTTTGAGCATCTTTAGTAATTAGCGGATTATTAGCATGGTGACATTTACTTGTCGTTTATTATTTAACTCAGTCTTGTAGTTAGAAACTTTGTGACTTTGACCTTTTGCTGGCTTAAAAATGAGTTTCCTGCATTTTCCTGCTATTTTGATTTCTAACGTTCGTACAATATTCATGCTCGATTTGCAGATTGCCCCTGAATGGAGACAGGCTCTGACCCTTAAGAAGACCGTCAAGGATAAAATAGCTAAAGGTATTAACTAGAATTCCAGTTTATATTTTTGTGGCTGCATTGTAGCGTCAAATCAGATGGATCGTAAACACATTGTTTTAAATGCAGATGGCTTTGTTGGAATCGGCATTACTGTTAGTGCTGTTGGGCTTATAGCAGCTGGGATTGTTTCCGCATTGGTTCGCAGGTGATACTGATAGCCATAAGCCAATAGTGTTCATAATGACTTGCTATCAATTACCCTTATCAGACTGAGAATAGGGTAACAAATTCTCCAGCTCCACACCTTTTATTTTCTGGGGAAAAAATAGCTTTAAATCCAATGTATTTTGTGCGGGAATTAATAGGTTCTTTCCCTCCTGCTATGTTAATCATTTGATAATGCTTACTATGTTTTGCCATTATATCGACAAGTTTACACTGCAAATATATATGGAAAGTTCTGCTATCTTGTTATTTTGGTCAGTTGGCTGGTTGCTATTGAAGATGTCCGATTAATATTCTTTTATGTATGTTGGCGTGAATCTGGTTACTCTATCAATCTAGTTCAATACTGTTAATCATCTGGTCTTCAACGGTTGTAATGTCATACCAGATGGAGGTCGATAAGTTATCTCGTACGTTTGTGGGAAGCTTGGTAAAACTTGGTTATGCGGCATGAGGGGACTGGCTTAGTCGGCTCGAGTTAAATCAAACTTTTCCAACATTTCTCCCTTTGTGCTGCTTAGGCATAAGCTCATTACTGTATATAGCTTGCAAGGAAGGTTACACCATGAGTGGATCAGGTAGGAAATTTTGTTTTGCTTGATCGAAAAGAAAAAGAATCGGTTACTTAGAGGTAAATGAACATTTTTGTTTTTCACATTGAAGGTTGGGAGGTATGTGTCTTTTATGAGAAAGACTTTCTTAGCATGGATAAGTGGTGTCTCATGTGAATCATTCATCACTTATGAGTTCTTCACATGACGCTTGATTGACACGAGATGCCACTGTTCGAGGCAAAAGGATGGCTGGCTCCTCGCACAGCTCCCTTGGGGTGAATGGCACTTGGTGTGTTTGTGTTGGTATCTGCTGGCTTCTTGCTGCTTGATATGCTGCAAGAAGAGTACAAAGTTAGTTTTGAAAGGTGCCTTTGTGGGGCCTTAGGTATAGGCCTTAAGGCTCACAATCAAAACTAACAACAAGCTTGGCATGCCATTGTTATCTCAGTATAGCAGATGTAGAGAAAATTTGGTTTAAGTCGATTACTTGCGCCCCAAGTTACTCAAACTTCTTGTTATCAAAGGATTGTTGCAGATGAGTTAGGTTTGCATCAAGTTCTTTTTTTTGCCTTGTAAACAAGGACTTTTAGTTCATGATCTTGTATGTTCGAATGAAAGGAGTCCAGAGCCATTTTATACCATTTGGTTGATTCCAGGTTGTTCTTAATGAAAACAGGTTCCTTAAGTTAACCAGATTCGGATGCAAATGGGACACTTAGGTAGAAAATTACTAGGAATAACTTGAATACATGCTGAAAAGTACATGTAGATGATAAATCTACTAATTTAAAGGACAAACAAAGAGATTCGTGCAAGATTTCACCTTGTCTGGCAAGGTTGAACCTCATGTAGCCACTTCTCTTTAAGTTTACAAAGGTTGTGCACTAAAAGGCATGGATGGTAAACAAGTTTTACACAAGGGATTCGATACTACAACATTAGGTAATGTAGCAGAGCTTTTACACTACACAAAAGATAGATTTTCTAAAGAAACTATTTCTAGAAGGACTGAATCTGGGTTAATTTCAGCTTTCTGGATGTAAATCTTGCTTGAGAGCAGAGTTTGTATGTTTGGTTGTTTGATTGGTTGAGTGTCCTTGTCTTAGATGCTTGTTTCCCATTTCATAGGCAATTTGGCCCGACTGCTCTTAGTGCCACTAGAAAGTGCTTTTTGGCTGATAGTAGGTTGAGCTCCATCACTTGTCACTTCAGTCATAGGCACATGGCCTATGCCTTGGCTGAGAAGGCTTTTAATCCGCATTAGGCTTCAAGGTTGGGCTTTGAGCAATTGCGACCCCGTTTTAGCACCCTTGGGTTTCATTTCTAATAAGCCCAATATTCAAATATTAAACCCAAACAGTGCCCGCTTTAATCATTGTTAAGTCTACAATCCAAGGCGTTAATAATGATTAAAACGAACTGCATGCTCTTACTTGGGACTTGCACCATTTTAAACAGCCGTTTTAACTAAACCTTTGCATTAACCCACGATCCTTAACGTTTACCATATAACCTTCACTTAAATCCTTCGGCTAAATACCTTAGCTATTCTAATCATTCGAATTTCCAGAACTTCTTTGCCTTCACAGTTCTTCTTTCTTTTTGTCTTCGATTCTCTTCCATCCTCTTTTCACAAATCATCTAATGGCTCCAAAGACTTCTTGCCCTGCATATGAGTCTGGCGAAGGCATTGTTAACATGCGTCTCCTTCTTAATGGCCTTCATAGCCCTTGGGTAGGCCTGAATACTTCAATTTTCTTCGAAGAGGGAGGAATAGACTCCCTGGGGACTGCTTGGACTTCCAGGGTCCCTATTGCTAAGGAGAACAATATGCCCAAAGTTGATTGGTTCACCCCTAACTCATATTCGGCCGAATCTGGCATTTCTTCTTCCAAGTGGTCATCCCATAGAAGAGGCTTCCCTCTTATGAAAGATGAAGCTTGGTCGAAGTGGGTAAGTGAGCTCAAGCATATCTTAAAAAAAAGTGGATGGACAATGGCATTTACGAGCTCATCATGCTCTCTAAAGTCACAGTGGTTGCCAAGCCTGAGCTCCTTACCACATCTATCATTTTCTGGAACACTAGGACCAACACATTTGACTTTCGAATGGGACATATGTCCCTAACCATCCTCGACATGGCTCAAGTCTTAGGGCTAAGGCTATGGGGTAGATGCGTGGATGTGACCCATGACTGGTCTTCCCCTTCTTGCCCGACTGTTAAATGTTCGGGCGACCCTAACTCCATCATTCAATTAGAGTACAATTCTTCAACTTTCAAGAGCTATGATACCTCATTCACAGGCTTCATCGCTTTTGCTAAGAAAACCTTCAGCTCGCTTTCAGCCACCACAAATAGGGACCAGGAGCACATATACTTTCTTTTGTATTGGCTCAACAAACACATCTTTCCCAATATATCCAAGGGGGTGAAATTGGAGTGGATACCCTTGGTGGAAGCCCTCAATTCCTTCAACGATGTGGCCATGGGGCACTTTCTTCTCGGCCATCTCTACCATTTACTCTTTGAAATGATCAAAGGCGAGCCATTTGAGACCAACCTCAATTGGCCAGCCTGGATGGTCCAGTGTGGCTTGGCACCCAACCTGGAGTTCCCTAAGGGAGTAGTTCCTGCTTGCATTTTGGCTGCGGCATGTCCCACTAATCACTTAACATTCTTCTGCCTCTATTTTTTTTTGAGTTTGTAGGACTTGGGCAGACTTGGAATGAGGTGCCTCGATCTTGAGAAGATACCCTTGGTTCTTAAATCTCATTCACGGGCTTCATCCCTTTTGCCAAGAAAACCTTCAGCCACCGCAAATAGGGACTAAGAGCACATATACTTTCTTTTGTACTGGCTCAACAAACACATGCTTCGCAATAAATCCAAGGGGGTGAAGTTGGAGTGGATCCCTTTGGTGAAAGCCTTCAATTCCTTCAACGATGTGGCCATGGAGCCATTTCTTCTTGCCTATCTCTATCGTTTACTCTTTGAAATGACCAAATGCAAGCCATTTGAAACCAACCTCAATGGGCCAGCCTAGATGGTTTAGTTAAGCTGCAGTGGTACTTGCCTAAGTTTCGGGCGCCCAACCTACAGTTCCCCGAGGGAATAGCTTCTGCCTGCATTTTGGCTGATGCATGTCCCACCAATCACTCAACATTATCCTACCTCTATTTTTTTCGAGTTTGTAGGACTCGGGTATACTTGGAATGGGGCACCTCGGTCTTGAGAAGATACCCCTGGTTCTTAGACCAAATTTTTCAGGCTGCATTTGGGGATGATTGATGCGAAAATAATTAAGCACTCAAATTAACCCTCTTGTTGTCAAATTGTAGTAAGGATGCAAGTAGGGATCGTTCTAGACCGGGGATTAAGAGGGCTTGCCAAAACCTCTAAACTGACTCAAAAACATAAAAACAAAGTTAAAAACGTTCACAAAGACTCAAAGGACTCAAAACAAGTTCAAAAGACTCAAAACTGCCTAAAAACACTAACTAGGCAGTTTCTGACCTTAAACACAATTTTGGAGGAATTTAAGATTATAGGTTGATTCAAAACACTTTAAAACACAAACTAAAGAGATTCTAAACACTTTAGAACAAGAAAGTAAAGGGGGTTTTTGATTTGACGAAAATTGAAATAACAAAACAAGTTATAAAACTAGGCAGATTGTAAAACGAATTTTGGTACAAGATGATGGATGGATTAGTTAGAGGTCCATTCTCCACACATGACACATTTGTATATGAATCGATTCTCCAATTGCTTTTTACTAACTATGATGCTCAACACCCCAAGTTAACCGTGATGCACTAATTAACCCTCAGACTTTCCTTATGTCATTGAATTGGATGATGCATGCGACAATTCAAATTATTCTCCAACAGTCCTCAACATGAATGCATAGAAGAGATACAATGAGAGATCATTACGCTCTATGAAAATCATAAGTGTTGACGAGGCAATTGTAACTATGAATGCATGATACTCTTGCCAAGAATTCAATTAACGCGGTTGTGACTAGCAACCTTCACTACTCATGTTTATAAACTTGTGACGATTAGGTGAAACTCGTTTATAAACTAGCATCAAGTTCATGCATGAAAACTAAGTATGTATCCTTAATCAACATACAAGAACAAGTTATGAATAAAACAGATAATTGAATTGCAATCACAACTTAACAAATCACAATTGGAAGAAATCAATTCATATCTCAAACATGTTCATGGCTTCAAACTTTCCCCTAACTAATTAGGGGTTTAGCCACTCATGATTATAGCAAACTTAGAAGATAATAGCAAAGTAAACATTGAAAACAAGAACGAAGTACACCTAAGAATGCTCCAATCTGCAAGCATGAAATGTTCAAGGCCTCCTTCCTCTCCTAGTTGCTGCGGCACAAGGGTTTAAGGTGAGTTTAGGGATTATGGATGATATAGAATGATGGATTTAGGGTTGGTATGGATATAGGGGACGGCAAGGTTTAGTTTTGGGCAGAAAATATGGAGAATTGTGAAGTATGGATGTGTTAGAGAGGTGGGATGAATTTCTGGCGTGAATGGTGAATGAATGAAGAGTCTTGTGGCTGCAACAAGGATGTTTATTTATAGGATTTGAGGAATTAAAACCCTAGGTTATTTAGGTAATCAGAAATTAAGTCAAAG